GCCTGCCGCGGCGTTTGCGCTGCCGCGGCCTCCGAAGTTGGCAACGTCGGGCTGCGCGGGAAGGGACGTCTTCCGTCGGAGGCCTGGCCCTGCGCGCGGCTTGCGCGATGACTGACCTCGGGATAATGCCAGCAGCGGGGCCGTGCGGGACGGTGCAGGCGGGAGTTGCTCCCGGAAGTCCCTGCGCTCCTGCCGCTCCCCATCCCCAAGCCTCCCCCTCCTCCCCCTATCGTCCTCTGTCGTCCTTCCTCCATCGTCCTTCCCCCTCCTCCTCCTCCTCCTCCTCCTCCTCCTCCGCCTCCTCCTCCTCATCATCATCCTCCATCTTCCTTCCTCGTCCTCGTCGTCCTCATGCCCCCCCGCCCCTGTACCTGTGCGCACCGCCCACATCTCCAAACGTCCTCCTCCTCCTCCTCCTCTTCCTCCTCCTCCTTCATTGAAGGGCAACGATGGGGGAGACTGGGGGAGGGGAAACATCGGGCTGGAATCGGCGATACATCGCCGACAGATCGGCGACAGGCCCCCGATAGCAAATCTGCACGTCTTGTCGGGGTGGGCTATCACAGGCCTCTATTTGCGATTTTGGGCGGGTGGGGAACGATGGAATCCCCCCTGAGCCTATCCCACCGTAACGTTGCCCCTGATCCATCGCCCTCCCTCGTTCTCATACTCTTCCTCCCCTGCACATGCGTGCACAAGAATTATGGACAAAATGTTCGCCAGCGTGGACCCCAAACAGTGCGCATCTAGAAAGATGCTTTGTGCAACGTGTATGTTGCAATATGCGTGGTGCAGTCGATACTGTGCAATATGTGCTGTGCAATCAATGTTGTGCAAACTGTGTGGAGCAACCTATGTGGTGCAACCTATGTGAGACAATCCAAGTGGTGCAATCGATAGTGCGCAATCTATGTGGTGCCATGTACGTAGTGCAATATATGTGATGCAATCTGTGTGGTGCACAATCTGTGTTTGAATTTATGTGGTACAATGTATATGGTGCAATCTATGCGGTGCAATCAATGCGGTGCAATCTATGCTGTGCAATCTAGGCGGCGCCGTGGCGGCGACGGCGACAACGGAGCCACCACATCGAATCCCAGGCCAGACGACAAGCGGCGACGAGGCGGCGAAGGGGCGGCGACGGCGGCCACGGAACTGCCACGCCGACCCTCAGGCCCAGTTCCCTTAGAGCGAGAAATACGAACCCGACCGAGGGAGGGCATCGACGCCGCTCGCCCAGCGGCGCCTGGATCCAGGTGGCGCACACTGCTGCCTTTCCTAGACCTTGTTGATGAAGTCTTTGTACTGCGGGTACCTGTCCGCCTGCTCCTGCGGGCGTTAACCAGAACCTTGCCATCGCTCGGACGTCCATTCCCAGTGCATTGTCCGGCGTCGTTCGTTTACTTGTTTCGCAAGATGATCCGGGATGCCCCTCGACGAGAAGAAATGCACACGTCCGAGGGACGCCAAGTCAACGAGGGCCGAGCGCGACCCCGTGGGTGCTGAGCTCGAAGGAGGACGCCCAGGCATGACAAGGTCAAGTGATCGAAGGCCGGCAAGTACAGTAGGCGGAAGGCGGGCAATAACGGCACG